TTTAGGATTTTTGAATTAGACTGCCTTGAATAAAACATGATTCTGGAAAAGGAAGTTGTCACCGGGGTTGGAGAAAAATACGCATTTCATCACCCAAATGAGTGTTGCTAGTAAATAACAAACCACCATTTTCTACACCAAAACCAAAATAAAATATTTTAGAAATAGGAGTGCAAAATTAAACGAAAATTAAATACAATGAAAAATGGGCAATTTGCCCCCCAAAATATTCTGTAGATGGGAAATAAGCCCCTCATGAAATTTCTATGGTAAATCAACCCTTAAACTCATAAATAATAACAAATTGAGTCAAAAGTGAATGGGAAAGGAAAACCTGTTATGGCCAACTAGTTTTATTTTATTTTATTTTTTGTCTCAAATATAAAAATATGATTTAAATAAAGTTTATATCAGTTTTTTTTTTTTTTTTTATAAATGATTGCTAATATTATTTTGCCATTTCATAAAATTTTGAAAAATTTAATAAAGACTAGACATGCTATCAGGTGGCACAAATTTCCAAAGGCCAAAAAAAGAAAGATAAAAGAGAACAAAAAGAGTAGCTCTCTCTTAGAACAAGATCTAATAAGTTAAAATTATGTCTCTATCTTTTCTTTTTTTTTTTTTTTAAAAAAGAACTCCTATTGTTCATGCTTTAGAAGTTTTGTCTATTTTAGAAATATTTGTTGTTATTTTAAGTCTAGGACTGATTTACTACTAACGTTTCATCAGAGGACTTGTTTCCCTGGGCAAAATATTTTAGGAGTTAATGTGCAATTTTTCCTTAAAATTAAAACATCCTAAAGTTCATGCCATGCGGATGCCCATCATCCCATGACCCATTCTCAACTCAGCTCTGTTTCTTTTTCTTCCTCTGTTGCAATCCATCTGCAATTGAAAGAAAGGCAGTGGATCCAAACAACTCCCAGATTACAGAAACCCTAATCCCATGTTATCTTCGACGATTTAAGCTAACCCTTTTAATCAAAATCTGAAATTTTTTTCGGAATCCGATTATGAATTCATCATTATCTCAACCTTGAAAAATTTTCATAAAATAAAAGGAACCACCTTTTCTTCTCATTCTGGTCTCTGCAAACCCAATACAGAAACCCTTCTGGGAGAGGAAGAGAGAGACTGGAGAAACAGAAGGGAAATGCCGAGCGTAGCTGTGAAGTTGTACAGTGTGTTCTTCAAGTTCCTGTTGAAGCATCGTTTGCAGAACCAGATCCAAAAGCCGGCGGACGAGACCGCCAACCCTTTCGGTGTCACAACCAGACCCGAAGAGTCGGTGGCGGCCTCGAACCCTTCTTTCACCGACGGTGTAGCCACCAAGGATATCCATATCGACTCATTGACATCACTGTCTATCCGGATCTTCCTACCTGAATCTGCTCTATCTCCACCGGAGCTACTGGAGCCGAAATCTAGATACAGATCCTCTCAGTCTGATGACAACTATTTGAATTCGAGGAGAAACAGTTACGGGCCTCAAAATTTGGGTGTCACGAGAGAAGAGTCCAGAAGAAACAGCTTCGAGGCTTTGAATTTGAGGTCGGAGAATGTGTACAGAGGGTACTCACCGTTGATGCAGAATTGCAGGAAATTGCCGATTATGTTACAGTTTCATGGCGGCGGGTGGGTGAGTGGCAGCAATGATTCGGTCGCGAATGATTTCTTTTGTCGGAGGATTGCGAAATTATGTGATGTCATCGTGGTTGCGGTAGGATATAGGCTGGCGCCGGAGAATAAGTACCCGGCTGCATTCGATGACGGTTTGAAAGTGTTAAATTGGCTGGGGAAGCAGGCGAACTTGGCGGAGTGTGGTAAGTCTATGGGGATCTCGAGAGCAGGTGGTGCAGAATCTAAGAAGTCAGATGGAAATCGGCATATTGTGGATGCTTTTGGGGCGTCCATGGTGGAGCCATGGTTGGCAGCACATGGGGATCCTTCAAGGTTAATTTCCATCTTAATTATGCTTGTTTTTTTTCACCTTGTTTCTTATTACTGTGGGGGTTTGTTACTATTATTTTTTCTGCGAATTCTTTGCCACTGAGTTCCTTGAATTTGCAATCACATTAGCTTTGTTTGAAAGGGATAGGAACTTGGAATCAGATTTTGCTAAGGTGCCATGTAAATTACAAGCTTATATTGCTGCATCTGAGTAAATGGCTCCAGATTGGAAGTAATTGATTACAATTGGTATGACTTATTTTTTTTAGTGTTAGAGGTAGTTGTAGAGTAGTTTTGTGTGCTTTAGCTTATGTATTAAATGAGTAGGGAAAAGAAATTGCGTTGAGTATACTAAAAGTCAAGAATATTCTGATTTTAGACTGATAACCTAGTATTTTATTGGATTGAATACTATTTTACTTGAATGAGCTTCATTGCTTGGTTATTTTTCAGAGATGTCCAAGGTATGCACAAGTTTCTTGGTGGCATGCTTCATGTTTATAGTTTTATATTTTTACATTGGCCTATCAGTTGGCATTATTAGCCTATCAGTTGGGGTTGTGTTTGTTGGAACCATTTGCTAATTGAGAAACGAAACTATTTGGTATCTGAAATCGACTTTGGTAATATTAACGATAAATACTTTTAGACATGATCTTATTGTAGGTAATTTTTGGAGTCACTTGTGATGCTAATTTTCCTTATCTTCATCTGTTAAAGCTACTGAATTGGAATATTATCTTGCCTTTTTTTGTAGTATTGTTGATCTATCTGAGGTACTAGAAACATAAAAACTATAGCTTTTGGGTTACTTCCACTGGGCAAGACTTGAATATGATTCCTAATTTGTTGTTCTTCCTCGTTGCATGCATTTAAGCCATTTGAAATTACAACTTTTAGGTATTTTTGATCAGTTTTGTTCTAAGGACTTAGGTTGCTGCCCCTTACTGAAATGTGCAATGCATCTATTTTGTTGTTGGCAACTTGTGGTTGAATTCTTGATTCTGTGGTTTTTGAAAATACCAAGTAGAAGCTGAAAAAATGATCTTTACTAGCTCATGACTTGCATAATGCATGCTACACCATAGACACATGCAACTTATGTGTTTATAGAGATTCTTCTGGGATATAACTAATTAAGCTGAAAAAGAAATTTAACATATGTGTGACCTGACCTAGATAAATAAAGTGGCGTGTGGTTTGATTCGGTACAGTCGGCATATAAAGGGTCTAACAACTCATGTTGGTTGGATTTTGCTGTGATATGAATATGTGACTGTAGTTATGTGCAAGAGTTATGGAAATCTGTATTGCATATATTTCTATAAAAAATGACTGGTTTATAGTTTAGCACCTGCTTAAAAGTGGAAAATTTTGAAGCTGTACATGAACTGTGGACGTGCTGATTTTCCCCCTGATATATGTCTTGTCTTACTGCAAAACCTTTTGCATGAAGTTTTCACTGTGATTACTAATTCTTATTTTGATAATACAGGTGTGTTCTACTTGGCGTGAGCTGTGGATCAAACATTGCAGACTATGTGGCTCGGCAAGCTGTAGAGGCAGGAAGGCTTCTGGACCCTGTTAAGGTTGTGGCACAAGTCTTAATGTACCCATTTTTCATAGGAAATGTTCCTACACATTCTGAGATAAGGTTGGCAAACTCCTACTTTTACGACAAATCCATGTGCATGCTTGCCTGGAAACTCTTTCTGCCAGATGAACAATTCAGCCTGGATCACCCAGCTGCCAATCCTCTTGTCTCAGCCAGGGGGCCTCCTCTAAAGCTCATGCCACCAACTTTGACAGTGGTAGCAGAACATGACTGGATGAGAGATCGAGCAATAGCTTACTCGGAGGAGCTACGGAAAGTAAATGTTGATGCACCTGTTCTGGAGTACAAAGATGCAGTTCATGGATTTGCAACCCTTGATATGCTTCTGAAGACCCCTCAGGCCCAGGCATGTGCTGAGGACATTTCCATATGGGTCAAGAAATACATTTCAATCCGAGGTCACGAGTTCTCTTATTAAGCATGAGATATCAAACTCAGAAGGAGAGAATTCATGACAGAGGATCTCCATTAAACAGTTAGCAACAGAGGATGCATGGCTGCATTTTCCTGTAGATTTGGGATGATATGTTGCATTTGTTCTTTAAGCTAGCACAGCATCTGGCTGTTCCTCATCAGTTTTCGTGCTTATCCTTCTCCTGTTTTATAATTGTAACATAGAACTTTTCCCAGAGTAGATTAGTGAGCCGTGAGATGAAATTGCCAACAGTATGAGTACTGCACGCCACATTCGGATGTTGTCAGTACATTTTTTTCCTGTGTATCAAAATGTGCTATTTCTCAAGAATAGAGTTTAATCATACACACACTCTCTCTCTTTCTCTAGTTTATTTAGCACCCAAGCAATGCAAACCAGCAGTCATGTTACACTCTAGCTTACATTGATCTCAACCTATTTTCTTTGTGATGCTTAAATCAGGTAGGCAGGGTTGGAGCTGGGAAGGCTGCATTCGTTTAAGGGTGTCCAAGGCTTTGATGATGGAGTCAGCATGTGTGAAACCTAAGCAGATAATATCTAAACCCAGATTCTCCTATGAGCTGCTCTGATTGGACATTGGATGAATCATTATGGATAAGAACATCCTGTTCATCACAGCGCATGTTGGCTACCTAAATTGGACAAGTTTGGTAGGCAGACAAGTTGCAAAACTCCAAAAACATTGCTTCAGGCTGCGGCAAGTAGTGTGTCATCTTTCAAAGGAAAGCTTGTATGTTCTCAGAATACTTAGCTCACTTTGTTTTGCCCTATTTTTCAACAAGAGATTAATCTATCTTTTCCTCCTCATTTGAACTTTGCCTGTGAAAGTACTCAAATCCCCTCATCTCTTGTTTATATATCCATACAGGGCAGTAGAATTACCCAGGGGCATCGCTGATATCCAGAGATATCATCTCACTTTGGTTCCTCTCTTTTCTCAGATAGAACCAGCAAATGATGCAAAGGCTGAAGCTGAGCTTTTAAAACAATGCCAATTAGCAACATGCCCCCCATATTAGAAGCGTTTGAGGGAAAGAGAGTTAATGTGGTGGATGAAGGCCATGGCCACCGTGCTAGAACCTTAGCCTCACCGACCCCAGGTGATCACTGTTCACCCTGGATGATCTATGGCTAACTATTGCTACCATTTTATGCTGCAGTGCTGCTGGAAAAACATGAATAAAGACAACAAAAGAAAAAATTGTCCTGAAGTTGATGTACTTGGAAATTTCTTCCTCAAGATGATGCTTGTAATGTACTAAGTAAAATGAAGAGAATAATGAACGATCCTATTAATGATGGTTCTGTATGCTGGCTTTTGACCCACTTTAACCACTTTTTCTTTTTCTTTTTGAATTGGTTCCTGCTCAAACTACTTTTTGGAGTTGTCAATTTTGTGATGGTAACTCTGTATCAGCCAATCCCAAATGACAATCTCTGGCAACTTCCAGCAATTTTCCTTTCACTACACAAGTATATTGGTTATCATACCAAAAAATAAAAATAAAAAATAAATCTTTAGCATTTTTGGGGTTTTGATGTATGATTTTTAGAACCTTGGAGTTGAGGGGTAAGCGAATAAAGTTTTCTAGGTAAATTACCCAGGGGGATATGCAAATGCTTTGTGGAGAAACATAATTCACAAAAGAGCATCACAAATTTGACCATTTTACATTTAGGATAACTTTATTTATTCGAA